ATGGTGTGGTACAGCTAAGCTTTGTGTAATGATACTGTCTGGTATGAGGTGTAGGCAGAAAATAAAACCATATGTAAACAAAACAAAAAAAATACAAACAAAAGCCATAAAAAGCATATTTTAATCTTCTAGAGAAAACCAATGAAGGCAAGGGAGGGACAGTCCATTTTCCTTGCTGTAAGAGGCAGAAGGACACGCTTGCTGGTCTCTGCCAATAAAAACGGAGATTCGACATCTGCTGGAACCATTCCACCATCACGCCAAATAAAACGACCTTATAGAGCCCTAACAAATAAAATCACTCTGGGTACTTACCCATACCATTGCTCCCTGCAAAGCCATCATTACCTGTTGTGTTGGCTAGACAGGGCAAAAATTCTCTACTAACCAAATGTTATTGAACAGAGCTTCAGCTTTGCATCTGAAGGAGTCTAAACTGTATTGCCTGCAGCAACCAATCAGATAGCTTTATATTTTTAGTTAAAATCAGGACATGTAAAAGGCCAGACACCCAGGATATTCTGAAACAGCTTATTTGATATGGCAAATGCTGAACATTAATTGAAGGATGGCTATATCTGTCCTAATACTAGCATAGGTCTAAGCAACAGCTGGGTCAGAGTTCACTCCCAAGTAATAATGAGCTTCTGAATATCAGAATCTCTAACAGAAAGTGAAAATAGACTGAATACCAATCATCCTCTGGTCAATGGGAGAGGAGGGGGATAGCAACTGTATAAATTCAACATCTGGTTCAGGAGGGAGATTGCTTCAGGTCATGGCAGTGACAATGATAAGCAGATATTTCTCTACTTACTTTCTCCCCATCCCTTGTAAACTTCTGAGAGCTGTTCATGGGCCTTCTACATTAACAAAAACTACAACTGTTTGCAGCTGACAATTACATTAGGTATAGTGAATACAGGCAGCTCACACCAGGCCCCAGGCAAAAATATCTACAGCCATCTATTACTAAATTACTTTTTCCAAAAAATACTTCTGAGTTTGTACCAAGCATGAATGAAAGTAATCATGTGTAGGCAATAGGGTTGATTTAGTAAAACTGGAGCGTACATTTGGTGCAGCAGTGATAGTAACCAATCAGCTTCTAACTGCAGTTTGTTCATTTAAGCTTTGAGAATAAAAACTGAAAGCCGATTAGTTTCTATGCAGAGCTACACCAGATTTTGCACTTTCCAGTTTGGAAAGGGCACTGCTATGATGGACACATTGGGGTATGTTTGCTCAAACACAAAGCTTTTGCAGAAGCTGGAAACTGCTGAATATAACACCCAGGAAAAGTGGATATTGTCTACACTGTATTAAAAATAAACTATTAACATAAAATAAAAACTATCAAATTGTAAGTAATGTGCTTTATCAAAAAAAAGAAAACAATACACAAAGAACCGTAGTTTCAGCCTGTGCTGCTTGTAGAAGCACCCCCCCCCCTTCCCTTTACCAGTTCCAATGCCAACTGGAACAGTTAGGGCATAGAGGCCCAATCCTATGTGGAATTTGGCTTTCTTACTGCAGTATAAAGAATATGATTGGCTGTTACAGGCAATAAACATACTGTGCTATCAGGAGTAACATCACTTGGATAAGATTCTTGTCCTGGGTGAAGAGAGGCAGGTCTGTACTGCTTTCATGGACCTAGTCTGGGAGATCTCCCCAACCAACGCTAATGGCGAGAGGCCAAGCTCGGTTTCTCACCAAAGCGGCTAATGTCAGCAGAGAAACTATACAGGACACACTTGTGTGATTTAAACTCTGGCACTGTTGATATATAAAAAACTGTAATGTTTGCTAGCATATCTAATTGGTTAAGTGTTGACATCCCCTTGTCTCCTAACATTTTCATGAACTCACGTTTACTATGCCACCTAGGTTTAGGTTGGTTGGCACTGGATAAAAAAACCAGTAAAGCTCACTGGGGCTCATTTGTTAAATTTGTATATTTAATAAGACCAGACTGTCACTACCTAAAATTATATAGGCACACGCAGTGCTATAAACATAGAAGAGGAACTCTAAAGCTGGGTACACACTACATGAAAATCGGGCGAACGATGTCCGAGACTTTTCCAACAATTAATACCATCCTTCGGTTTTCCTCTACGTTTAATACCAAGTTGAACCTGACAAAGGCTTTGACATAGAAATGCTGTAGCGTAGTTTACGGTTTCCAATCATGCGCAGTCTTTCATATCCAATTTCTCTTGTGCGAAAACAGTACACATTAAATGAAAATGAAAATAGTTCTGTTCACATACAAGAAAAAATTGGAAATTGTTTGGAAAGTCTGAAACAGATGTGTAGCTTCAGCATAACAATGCATCTTTTTCTTTAATCAATCTTTGCCTCTCTTTCTAAGCAAATCAGTTGTGAAACCATTCAACACTACCTGAAAGTATTGAAGGCTTCTTGGGCCCACTTGCCGCTACCACCCCACCACCAGAACTGACAGCACAGCTCTCTGCTCACCTTCAATTGTCTGATGTGAAGATAAACATGGTGCCTGGAGTGAGCAGACATTAATATCCATTGCTCTCATGGTGGTGGTGGTGGTGATCAAGATCACTCAAGGCTTTGCATTCATCAGTGGGGTCTCTAGCTCTCAGTGCTGGGTGGCAGGGAGCAACTGCAGAGGAAGCCTTTGACACTTCTGTCAAAGAACCCACAACAGATTATTCAGAAATAGAGGCAAAGATTGATAACAGAAAGGGATCAACTGTAAATGCTCATTTTATATTTTAATAGCACTGTGTGCGCCTATATAAATTTAGCTAGTGACCAGGTCTCTTTAAAACTACCTCCCAACTTATCCTTAGCTTGGCTAAAAATTGCTAAAACTGGTGAAGCTCAACTGTCATGCTCTACAAGCAATCAGATCTGGAGAACTTGGGCCAGTGCCAACAGCCAAGCAAGGGGAGATCTCCCATTGATGTCCAACAGGGAGAAGTCCTATTGTAGCACTGAATCCTACCCCCCATCCTCCAAAACCACAAAGAGAAAAAAAAAAAAAAGTGGCGTGGAATTGTTTTTTGACATTTCCATAAAAGGCGTCTTGGATGTCACCAAACAAGGTTCATCCCCTGTGCGTTAACGAAAGTTCAGTCAAGCATCAGCAGCAAAACAAATGGACGCCAAGATAACGTTTTCAGAAAATGAGGTGGTGGTGGGTGGGGGGACCTGATCCCGTTCTTCACCCAGCTTGACTTTATGGGCAACAATAGTTGCCAAGCAAACAAAACGGCTTCCATGCAGCTGCTAAATGATTACATAAAATAGCTGGTTTCAGTTTTGAACTTATACAAATCAAGTCGATATAGTCCTATAAATAATTTATTTAAAAAAAAATTGTGCTGTTAACCCAATACAGGGGTGTAACACACTTAATGCTTTATAGTTCGAAAAATACAATTTTTTTTTTTTTTGTTAAATTACTACTGTCAAATGCGATGTTCTCGAAATGTCACATCGTGTACTGTTTTGGAACCGGAAATTTGCATTTTTTTTCCCCTCCTTGAAAGGGGAGGGGGGCGAGAGGGAAATAAAAATTAAAAGAAATCGTAATGCTACGATTTTTTTTCTCATGAACCAAGCTGGAAAGATCTCAAGCTAAATAAAGCGGAGAGAGAGAATTTTATGAAATGAGGAAAAAATACTTTCCTATTAAATGGATACTCAGACTAAAGCAATCTATCAAGCCTTCTAAACTGTTAATTTTTTTTTTTTTTTCCAAACAAGCATTTTTAAACTTCATTACACAGAAGAGCAACAAGGATGGTAGGCTGCCAGACAAAAAGGCAGAAGGGAAAATATACTGAGTTCGATGAAGAGTTGGAGTATAGCACAGTTCTTCACAACCGATGGAAGGGGGGAGGGGGTAACACGGTGTCCAATAACAATCTAACGACGTGCTTCATCGGAGCTGGGTACTATGAAGCAGGGTGGAAAATGACTGCCCCCTTCGGGGCATCAGACTTGTAGGTTTGCTTGTTTTTATTGTTTTTTTAAATCTCTTGTGACAAGCATCTGTCCAGCTATCAATCTTTTGTTTGTTTGCACCAATCCCAAGCCATTTTAAAAATACGACTAATTTTAAGTTAGAGAGAAGTCGTCTTCAGAGCGATCACCATCAACTGTCCATGCTACTGATTTCCTCTAGAAGAGAAGTGCGGAAAAGTTTTTGAAGGTAAAAGGGGACAAACAAAAAAAAAAAAAGCAATTAATTTTTAAAGTATAGAAGAAATAAATAAATAAAATCACTCATTTCCAACCTATCACTACAAGATGGGATGTTAAGGGCTGATTCATGAAGGCCTCACTTTCCCACATCTACAAACTGCACCAAAGTTCTGCACAATTGTTCTCAATGGCACAGGTTTGATCAGCAGACTTTGGAGCACATTCTACAAGCAGTTTCACTAAGATCTCACATTCCCCCGCATTCTAACATCTGCCTGATCCAGTCTGCAAGCTTTATGTAGTAGGCTGCACCAACAATTTGATTTGGCTATGTGCACTGAGAAGCATCTCAAAGTGACCACTGAATATACATTGGCTTTACGGTCACTATTACTTAAATTAAAGCTTCCTCTGCCAACAGATTGCCAGCCACCCACCCCAATAAAACACTCTCAAAGAGCCAGAGAGGCAGTTTACTATATGCCCACTATTTGCATGGAACCAAGATTGAACCCTTTTTCTGTTAAACAAGCATACTTAACGTAAAGTCATAGCAGTTGTTGTTCCTGCCTTCAAATAATGGAATCTATCCTGCCTTCAGCTAATAATGGAATCTTCTATTCCTCCTATCAGTCCATCCCCCACAGTTATTACCTTCTGTACCACCAGCCCCTCCCTCTTAGATTGTAAGCTCCAAGGAGCAGGGCCCTCCTAACCCTCTTGTATTGAACTGTATTGTCTCCCGTTGTAAAGCGCTGAGCAAACTGTTGGCGCTATATAAGTCCTGTATAATAATAATAGTAATATTAATATGTCACATAGTTACCTTCAAAGTCCTGGTTGTCTATGTAAGGTGCTGGTCCCCATATTCTAACAGTACCATCGTCAGAAGCACTGGCCATCAGTGAGGGAATCTGAGGGTTCCAACTCACACAGTTTACTGTGCGCGTATGTCCGGTCAGCTCTGCGATGGGCAGTTCGCTGCGCTTGTGCCACACGTACACTTTGTGATCTGTAATTGGGAAACCACAAGAAATACCATATGGTAATTAACAAGAGATTGGTAGGTAGCTAACAGGATGGGTGCCCCCCCCCCCCCAGAGCAAGCTGCTTGCTCTGGGGGTACTCAGCATGGGGGAGGGGCCAGGAGCCCCAGCAGGGGATCCAAGAAGATATATCAGAGCTGCTCTGTGCACAACCATTACACCGAGCAGGCAGGATGGCATGTTTGTTAACCAGAACCTAAAGTGATACTGAAGGTTCACATTTTTGTTTTAAAAATTACAATGTGTTATCTACAGCATACTCTTCCTGTCCACAGAAAAGAAGCAATGGCCTGCTTTTGGCTAACTTCTATCCTTCCAGGAGCAGGGCTTACACCAAAGATGGAGTGTTTACTGGGGCACACAGAAACACACAATGTGATTCATAGCTACATGTGGTAAATATGAACTTTCTCCAGCTCATTTTACAGCTGTTTTATAATGGAAAAGCAGGAGAGATCAGATGACAGACCAGAGAGTGACGCACAGAAGAGGAACAATCCCTTATCTATCCTAGCAGAGAGATGTCATTGCCTGGCTTCCTTTTATTGCATACTATGCATTTTATACTTGTACTACAAGTTTTGAACAGCAGCATTGCACAGAGCTCTTCAAGTGAAGATTTAACACACTGCCTGCCAGAAAGGAAAATATAAAATTCATTTACTGGACAGCTAAATGAATTTTTTGCTAAAGTGTCCTGTTGCTTGCTCCAAAAGAACAAAATCATAAATTTGAGTGATTCAATCCTTGACTAAACACAATTAAAAAGGAAAACCATTTGTACCTCAAAATGTGATTATATTTCCACTAGGACAGATTAATAAATGGTTCGGTTTAGGGTTGCAACAATACTGGTACCAAGTATTTGAGCGAATACGCATACTAATGCACCGATACCTAAAACCGATACCTTTACAGTGGGATTTGAACCCATACAAAATTAATGGGTTTAAATCCCACTGCAAAGAATCGCAAATGATTTGAACAGGAATGCGGTGTGATTCCTGTCTGAATGACATGCAGTTTTCCTGCAGGTGTTGTTTGCTTTGCAGTGCGATTTGAGCCATTTTGTATGTCTCAAATCACACTGCACCACATCTATTGACCAACTGATCTATTAAACAGTCATAGGACGTCTGCAGCCTGCACACTCAAAAGGAAGGATAGAAAGATCTATTCAGAAGCAAACAAAAAGTCACTGTTACCTTCACTGCCGCTGGCGATGAAGTCTTCGTTGTTACCGCCAAAACATGAGTGTATTGTGTAAAAGCCTTGCGTCACGCCTTGGTATTTTCTCACTAAAACTCTATCTTGCAAGTCCCATAAATGAACACCCTGCAGGTAAAAAAGGATGACATTACACAGCAGACAGAGAGTGTATTGAACAGCTATAGGCAGGTTTCTACGGTCAACATCAAATGCACATCGTGCGTATATACCCTCACCCATACAGATCATCAATTCACACTGCTCAATGTGTGTTCCTGTAAATTACTGCTGTGCCCTGCTTGAGTGAACAATGCTGGTCATAGAGATAGCTAGCTGCTGTTGAACCCATTTCATTCTTCAAGCCCATGGGTACGCTCTCTTCAAGCCCATGGGTAATATTTGACTATGTCCCTTCTTAACGTGACCCTGTCAGGTAACAACTATCCAAAAAGCTGTCTCCCTCTGCCCACACCACCAATGATTCTCTGTTAAGTAGAAAACTTCCTCTGAAGTCTGCTAAGAAACGGAAACAAAAACAAAAAAAAAAAAAAAACAAAAAAAAAAAAAAAAAAAAAAAAAAAAAAAGCAAATGGCGTAAAAGCTCCATTTAAAAAGGGAAACTTTTGTATGGCATGACAAATGTAATAAACACAGAGAATATTGATAGGGCAAAGGCTAGAGACAACCCTGAAGAAAGACCTTTAGCTATATGTATCAGAAATATGGACGCAGCAATGTTTCAGCACATGACACCACGTCTAACATTGCTTATTACGTAGCTAAATGTGAAAAGCCATTTCTAGATTTCCCTGATTTATTAACATTGAGTGCCAAGCTAGATGTGCCAGTTCTGCAATTCATTCATTTCATTGCAAGAATAATCAGAGAAAGTCTTGTGGCAAACATTAAAAAGTCACCTTTTGTTGGCATCATGATTGACGGATCTACAGATCAAACCTACACTGAACATGCAAACATTTATGTCCGTTATGTTTTAGAAGATTTTTTTGGGTACATTTGCGCTAGAAAATGCTAGTGCCGAAGGTTATTTCAAAGGATTGACTGCCTTTATGGATAATTTGCATCTTAATTACAGAGGCTCTTCATGGGTTGCAGGCTTGGGAACGGATGGAGCTGCAAGCATGCTTGGCCACAAGTCAGGTTTAGCAGTCCAGATGAAAGAAGTCTGCCCACAGATGATCAGCATACACGGTGTGGCTCATCTCTTGCAGCTTGCGACCTTGGATGTTTGCAACGAAATGCCATACCTACAAACATTCGATGAGGTGGTGCGGCGTGTTTTCAAATATTATCATTGCTCAGCAAAACGCCTTATGCAACTTAAAGATCTCACAAACACTCTAAGTGAGGAAATCTTGAAAATTAACCGCTTGCCGCCCTGCCACTGTGTATATACGTGTGCAGGGCGGCAGTGGAGCGCAAAACCACGTTTAAAAAACGGGTTCCGCGCTCCCGACACTTTCGCGGCAGGGGGCGCGCGCTCCCGCCGACCCGCGGGTGACACTATTTGATCCAGGATTATTTCAGCAGTGATTTCTGGCTGAAATCACATGATCGGTCCCTGTCCTATCCTGTCCTGTGTTGACATACACAGGGCAGGATATGATGTCATTCTTCTCTGCCTGGACACATTCCGTTCCAGACAGAGAAGAAGACATCCAAAAAGTGAGTACACAAGCACTACACTACAGTTAGAACACTCTAGGACACATTTAACCCCCTGATCGCCCCCCCCCCCTCCAGTTAACCCTTCACTGCCCTGTCACCAGTGTTACTGATCAGTGAAGCGATTTTTTACTGATCAGTGTCGCTGGCGACTTTGCGATAGAGTTAGCGCCCCTCCCAGATAGCGCCAGTTTGCCCGCCAGTACACCAGTAATCCGTTTAATCCCTTGATCGCCCCCCCCCCCCCCCCCCCCCAGTTAACCCCTGCACTGCCCTGTCACCAGTGTCACTGATCAGTGAACCAATTTTTACTGATCAAGTATCAGTGTCGCTGGCGACTTCCGATAGAGTTAGCGCCCCTCCCAGATAGCGCCAGCTTGCCCGCAGTACACCAGTAATCCCGTTTAACCCCTTGATCGCCCCCCCCCCCCCCCCAGTTAACCCATTCACTGCCCTGTCACCAGTTTCACTGATCAGTGAACCGATTTTTAAAATCACTGTATCAGTGTCGCTGGCGACTTCCGATAGTGTTAGCGCCCCTCCAGATAGCGCCAGTTTGCCCGCTAGTGCATCAGACAGAAATCCATTTAACCCCTTGATCGCCCCCCCCCCCCAGTTAACCCCTTCACTGCCCTGTCACCAGTGTCATTGATTACAGTGAACAGATTTTTACTGATCACTGTATTAGTGTCACTGGTGACTTCCGATAGTGTTAGCGCCCCTCCTAGATAGCGCCAGTTTGCCCGCTAATGCACGGGATTTTTTTTACCAAAAACATGTAGCAGAATACATTTTGGCTTAAATTTATGACGAACTTTGAGTTTACGATATATTTTTTATAGCTGAAAGTAGAAAATATTGTTTTTTTTCAAAATTTTTGTGGTTTTTTTTGTTTATAGCGCAAAAAATAAAATAGCGCACAGGTGATCAAATACACCAAAAAAAGCTCTATTTGTGTGAAAAAAAGGACTAAATTTTGTTTGGGTATAGCATTGCATGACCGCGCAATTATCATTTGAATTAGTGCAGCGCCAAACAGCAAAAAAAGGCCTGGTCATTAAGGGGGGTAAATCCTCTGGGGCTCAAGTGGTTAAAGATGTACACCCAGTGCGCTGGTTATGCAGCAAAGTTGAGGCCTTGCGTATTTTCAGCAAAACTGGAAGACAGTAGTGATCCATTTTGAGCAGATATCAACTGAGGGATCATGTGAATCTGCTAAAGTTAAAGGCATCCTGAAAGACCTGAAACAGTTGAAGTTTGTGAAACTTTTGCATTTCGTATTCGATTTGTATAGCAAGCTGAAATCTGTCAGAGGGTCTTCAGAACAAGGAACTTACGATCTGTCAGGTAAAAAACAAAACTAGAACATGCAGTTAAACTCTTCAGGATCTTCCTGATGGGAAAGGAAAAAACAAACTAGAATTTCTTAGTAACTTTACAGATTTAAAACTACATGGGCTGCAGCTGACCAACCTTCAAGCTGGTGACAGAGAATTTCAGTCTACACGCCAATCTGTATTGGCCAAAGCAGAAAGATATTTAATTTTGAGGCTTTCCTCATTCTCCTCAGATATTGTACAATCTTTCAATATATTTAACAGCGTCTTGGCTAGACAAAGCACACATCCTCAACTTTGGATTGACTGAGTTGCACAGAATTGCAAAACATGTTTTTGATAATCAGTTTGAAGACAAAATTGACCTGTTAAAAGCAGAGTGGGCTGACCTAAAACTCTCCATTCAAAATGGACTCTTTTAATGAGACTCTGAAAAGACTGAATCAAGAAAGCAACATACTCCCTCTGTTCAATTTCTGTGCCGTACTTCCACCAACAACTGCCTCATGTGAACGTGGCTTTAGCTACCAAAACAGAATAAAGACAGTCTATCGTTCATCACTGACACTGGAGACTTTGGATGATCTTTTGAGGATTGCTGGTAATGGACCACCACTAAAAGATTACAATCCAAACACTGCCATTGATAAGTGGTATTTTTCATCAGAAAGGACACAAGTCTTGGTCCTGCTGGCTTCCTACTGCTTTTTGTCATCCAAAAAAAATCATTTTTTGGTGTGTTTTTTTCTTCATGGAATAGATTGCAATCCACACACAGCCATTGAAGTGGTATTTTGTATCAGAAAAAGGGTATTACACAAGTCTTGGTCCTGCTGTAATGTACAACGAAAACCATAGCAAATCTTGATGTGAAACTGGCTTCCTACTGCTTTGTCATCCACAAAATCATTTTATGGTGTTTTTTTTTTCTTCATGGAATAGAATGCAATCCGCACACAGCCATTGAAGTGGTATTTTGCATCAGAAAAAGGGTATTACACAAGTCTTGGTCCTGCTGTACAGCACAAACCATGGCTGCTCTATTAGCACATCTTTGGTAAAATGTTTACTATTGTTATGCCATGTTTTTTGGCATCTAAATCAGCACTTTTTTGTTTTTTTCTTATTGCATTACTTCTCTAAGCTCTCTTTTAATAAGATGCTGGAGATAAAAAATGCAAAATGTTTACTATTGTTATTTTATGCAATGTTTTTTTGGCCATTAAAAGAGGCACTTTTTTCTTAATGCCACACTTCTCTAAGGTCTCTGCTGGAGATGGAATAATAGTTACTATAAACATGTTGTATTTTCTATGTTTTTTGGCATCAAAATAAGCACTTTTATGATACACTTCTGTAAACTAAACTTTAGTTACTAAAGTCTCTTTTTAAAGATGCAGGAGATAAACAAAAAAAAATACAAAATGTTCACTACAGGTTTAAAGCTGTAAAACTTGATATTTTGATTGCACCCTATTGCTATTAAGCTATTGCTATTATGTTTAAATTGACATAATAAAGCTATGTTATAATTGCAATTTTTTTATATTTTGGACTCTTTATTCTAAAGAAAAATGTAATTTCATAAGCTTTAAGGGGGGGCGTGGTTAGGGGGCAGGGCTGGGGGCAGGGTTGGAGGACGGTCCGGGGGTGGGGTTGGAGGCAGACTTGGGCAAGGTTGGGTGGGGCAACTGGTGGAGAGTAAGGTTTGTGCCTGGCTAGTAGGTCTAGACTCAAAATTGTAAGCCTTGATGTAGACTTCTGGGGCATGTGACAGGTCCCAGAAGATTACTTGACAATTAGCAAGGTGCAGCGCTACTCGTACATGCGCAGTGGGCACCCGGCTGTGAAGCCTTAAGCTGTCATAGCCAGGTGCCCACACTTAAGATGCTGGCACCAGGGAGAGAGGATGGCTGGTGAAACCGGCTGCGGTGAGTACAACGCTGGATTGGGAGACAAGCCAATGACTTTTTTTTTCCTTTAAAGTCAGCAGCTACAGTTTTTGTAGCTACTGACTTTTTTTAGATTTTGACCGGACATCTGCTTTTACTCTAATTTATAAACCAGCATATGTTTAATAGATGTGTAATTTCTGGAGTTACA